AAAAAGCAGCCACTGACTTCCTTAACATTTTTTGTTCTGACTCCACATGTCAGTGGCTGCTTTTATTCCAACGTTCTTCAAAATATCTTATTTTGTGCTTAACAGAAGAAAGAAATTACTAAAGGTTTAGAACCACTTAAGTGTAAGTAAATGGACATTTTCATATCTGGCTGAACTATTCCTTTAACATCTGTTACTCAGCTTTTAAGTTTGCATTCTCCAATTTTAAAACATTTATATACAAAAATTTAAGTCTATATCTTTTCTCTAAATTGTATAAATAACTATCAAGTTTAAGAAAGTTTGTGATACAACCGCTCCCCTGACAAGTTTACATTTTCTACATGTTATTTTGTGAATCAAATTTCTTGTAAAGATTATTTTTATATCAACCATCATCAACACCTTTCCTCCACTCTGCTCATAGAAATTCTGGAATATCCTGGAACTTTAAAAAGTCTATTTCTTTCCATTTTATTAATATGTCCAAGACATGGAATATCAGGGATTTTTGTTTATCCTATTTTTTATATTGCATTTCACTATGCATCGTTGTAGTTGCATCGTTATATTGTATTGTTGAAGTCAAATGCTATCACCTGACTGTACCTATTAACTATTGCTAAAATGCCAGGATAAGTACATTTTAAAGGTTTTGGATTTAAAATGACCACTTCAAATATTGTGCATTAAAAATTAATGACAAAAAAGCTAAATGTACAGTTTAGTCAAATCACTATCTAGCTATTGTATATGGGAGATTAAGCAATTGCAACTATGCAATTGGTAAGTGCCTCAGATTTTTTTCCCTAAATCTGAGATAAATTACCTATTATTGTTCTCATAGTGGCTATTAAATTCATGCAAAATCATATGCAAACTAAAACCATTGTTAATATGTTAACATTATTTTAATAACTATTAATATAACAGTACATCTCCAAAGACATGCGCTATAGGTGAATTGGTAAGCTAAATTGGCCATAGTGTATGTGTGTGAATGAGAGTGTATGGGTGTTTCCCAGTGATGGGTTGCAGCTGGAAGGGCTTCCACTGTGTAAAACGTCCTGGATAAGTTGGTGGTTCATTCTGCTGTGGCAACCCCTGCTTAATAAAGAGACTAAGCTGAAAAGAAAATTAATAAATGTATGACATCAGTGGCCTGTTTTTCTATTCATTAGATGTCATGAAACTTTGCCTTTTGAAGTGAGTGAAAATCAGGGAAATATTCAGCAAATTTGAATTTTTGCTTAAAGTGGGAGCTCTGTGTTTAAAGTCAAGCATTTATTTAAAAAAGTTTTAAATAGGGGTGATGTAATACTTTAAAATAGTGGAGAAGATGGGAAAATGATTGAGCAAAATGTGCAATAAATAAATAAATAAAACTGAATTCCAGCTTGTTAGCTACTGTATCCTCTTGTCTCATCTTTTTGGATCTAGTAAAAAATAATTATTAAAAAACAAATTGTGTTGTTACTTTTCTTAGCTGGGCTATTTGTTATTACATTTATTAAACATCATAAGATTTTAAGTAGATCCCATATCAAGATAATGTAATGTGTATTTACTGTATATAGCGCATGTATTGTGTATGGCCTTGCACCCAAAGTGCTTCACAATCATGAGAGGGGTCTCTACACACCACCACCAGTGTGCAGCATCCACTGATGAGACAGCAATCATAGGACAATGGCACCAGTGCACTGACCACACACCAGCTTGGTAGAGTGGATAGATTGTTCAATTCGGTGGTTGAGGATTGGCGAGGCATGGTCGGTAAGGGCAGATGAAGGAAATTTGACTGGTACACCGGGGTTACACTCCTACTCTTTACGAGACATGCCATGGGATTTTAAATAATCACAGATAGTCAGAACCTCGGTTTAACATCTCATCTGAAAGATGGGATAAGATAATCTGTAACTGAGGTGATATCGTTAGCGACTCATCACCAGCAGCCACATCACCCTTGGACCTTGGACTACAACCCCGATCACCATCATCTGCATTATAATCCCCACACTTTTTACACGCTACAAATAAAAATCCCTTCTCTTTTCAATCACCGTCCGGTCTACTGTTTACCAACCTGAACTTACCAGATGAGCTTTTGCTCTGGATTCCAGCTACTTTTGCATTCCTTGCTCAGCGTTTTACAAAAGACTCATTTCCAGACAAGAACCATACCAACTATAATACTTACCTTCTCTGCACTCTATTGACATTGTTGCATAAATTATCTGGTTTTGCACCTATCCCTCATGTATTCTCCTGTGTATAACATGACGGATACAGGTTTAGTGGATGAACAATCATTAATCTGATTTGAATGCAACTTTAGTTGTATATAAAGTCCTTCAAAACTTAATTCAGGTAGATGGTGGTCATTTATGATAATTAATTCAAACTATGTATAAAGTAAGCAGTTAAACTGAAAGTGTTTCAGCTCTCCTCATGCTACAACCATCCTGGCTATCACCAACTTATTTACACAGTCCATATGTTTGGTTGCTAAAGGGCTTTTAATATGAAACACTCTTCATAGTCTTTCAAGGAGAGAGGAAAAAACCCAAAGTACACTTATCCTCCCTCCAAATAAATAACCCTCCTAGCTTTGATGGCGTGTGCCAAAGGTCACTATATACTTGGTCTCAAAGCGCTCATCCATCACAGCACTCCTCCGCAGTGGAGTGCTATACCTAATGTTGAGGTGTCTGCCAGCCCCTAAAACTACTCATAAATGCTCCACCGATGAGATCATAGCTTGCCAACAGACGCAGTAGTCACAAGACAAGCTTTATCAAGGATAACAGAAATGCATGTGCAAGTAAAATGAGCTTATTTATGATGCAAGAGTGCTTTTCTATTCCAAATAAAACCTGCAATCAACCACAATCAAACCACAGTCTTTTAAACTATTATATAACCTAATATTATTATTAAATTTAGACCATGTTAGACCACAGTGTTAATATTAGGCTAGATTTTGGTCGTGATTTTGGTTGTGGTGACCAAAATTCAATGACTAGTCGGCGTCCAAGGACAATGTTATTTTGATGTCCAATAATGACATCAAATGACGTTGACATTTGGTTGATTTTAGGTTGTGTTGGAAAGTAACCAAAATCCAACTTCGATCCAACATCTTAAACCAACGTCATATTGAAGTCAAATACTAACATTTATTCATCAGGTATGGGAACCAAAATCCAACGTCTGATAGACATCATAGTGGTAACGTCCACTCAACATTAAGCTCATTGGACATTGTTACTTGGTTGTTTTTAGGTTGAGCTTGAAAGTGACCAAAATCCAACGTCTGTCCGGCATTGGAATTTGGAAATTTTCACCCAAAATGCAATGTCCCCATGACACTTGTGTACAATGGCAATCTGACGTCATGTTGACATCCTACCTAAAAATCCTACCTTGTCCAGATTCTGCACTTTTTTACCCAGAGGTTAAAAGTAACAAAAATAACTTTGTACAGATGATTGTTATTGTTGTTGTTGTTGTCGTTGTTATTATTAGTCCTGTTCCACGTTCTGTTGAAGAACAAAATATGTTTGTTCATTTAGGAGATGCTTTAATCCAAGGCAACTTACAAATTAGTTTAGCAGGTTTTTTTTTTATTAGCAGTTTTTATTATTATTAATATTCATTCATTTTCTTTTCGGCTTAGTCCCTTTATTATTCTGTACTTTCATAAAAAGGTACAGGGACTGTAACTAGGGCAGTACCTTTTCAAAGGGTACATATTTGTACCTGAAGGGTCCATATTAATACCTCAAATGTACTTTTTAGTTACATTTGGGTACTAATATGGACCTTTTAGGTACCACTGTGGACTCTTTGGTACAAATATGTATCTTTTAAAAAAGGTACTGCCCCAATGACAGCTCCTGTACCTTTATTTCTGAGCGTGTGGGGTCGTTAGTGTGGAATGAACCGCCAACTTATTCAGCATATGTTTTTATGCAGCAGATGCCCTTCCAACTGAAACCCATCACTGGGAAACACCCATACACTCTCATTCACACACATACACTATAGACAATTTTAGAATGGTGGGGGAAAGCGGAGCACCCAAAAGAAACCAACGCAAGCATGGGGAGAACAAGCAAACTCCACACAGAAATGCCAACTGACCCAGCCAAGAATCGAACCAGCTACCATCTTGCTGTGAGACGATCGTGCTACCCACTGTTCCACCGTGGTGTCTCTATTATTATTATTATTTTACATTTATTTATTTATTTATTTATTTTTATTGTTGTATTTTTTTTTATTATTATTTAGTTCTTGTAACAGTGTTTGTAGGAAAGTATATGGTGCATATAGAGAGGAAAGAATGTTTTCTACAGAACCTAGTGGTTCAGTGTTGACCTTGTGAACAAACAAAGTAATGCAAACAAATTTAAAGCACACATCCAAAGTTTGTACATGCATAGCAAAAATCAGGCGGCATGCTTACAGTATATGCATACTCTTCTCATAATTAAATAAAAGCTTTGGCATACTTTAAGATTAAATTGCCTTCATCAGCATCTGTAGTTCCATAAAGAACCTTTAACATCTATTAAATCTTTCTACTGCACAAGAGGTTCTTTATAGTGAAAAGGTTTCTGTAGATTATTCAATTGTTTTATACACTAAGACTAAGACTACTTCTTTTAAGAACTATTCACCAAAAGATTCTTCAAGAAACCCATTGATTCTTGAATAGAATTGCGGCAACACCCAACCTTTATTTTAACAAATGTACAGTCCTTCAACTCTCAAGAAATGTTATGCCCTGAGATCATACATTTCCTCCATGCTTGTCTTCTTCACTGTCATCATGTTCATTGACATCTGGCAATACATGTTTCTTCTTTCTCTCAATTGCTCTCCTCACCTGTGCCTCAGCCACTCCCCCATTCATCTGCTGGTTTCTGCATAACCAGTTTAGACTCCCTCCCTGTTTACTCTATATAACTCGCTGTTGTGGCACTCCTGACTCACTTTTCCTGTCTCGCACACAAACGTACATTTCCTCTTCTGAGGTCTTTGGGGATTTAACCATGTCGTATGACCAGGACCTCTGTTACCTCTGCAAGGAAGACTTCAGGGACCCAGTTTCCATCCCATGCGGTCACGTTTTCTGCTCTCTCTGCATCAAGACCTACTGGGATCATGCAGATCAAACTGGACAATATGTGTGTCCCCAGTGCAGGGTCACCTACAACAAGAGGCCCAGCCCACGCCGCCTTCAATCCTCACGTTCATCTTCAACTCTGAGAAACTCAGATGGCTTCCCACCAGCACCTCCGTCCCCTGACTACAACTATGCTGGACCCCAAGATGTGGGATGTGACATCTGCATCGGGAAGAAACTTAAAGCTGTCAAGTCCTGCCTGATGTGTTTGGCTTCTTACTGTGAGAAGCACCTGAAGCCCCATTATGAATCGTCCACCTTCAAACGTCACAAGCTGGTGGATGAAATCGGACACTTGGATCGTCAAATCTGCCCTCAGCACCAGAAAGGTCTGGAGCTTTATTGCCGGACTGACCAGATGTGTATCTGCGTTTTGTGTACCGTGAAGGAGCACAAGGGTCATGACATGGTGTCCGCTGAACAGGAAAGGGCGGAAATGCAGGTAAGATCATGTCACAAGCTATACCAAAGTGCATTTGCAATCATATTTTTACCTTCAGAAATGTTATGCCGGTCAATCTGTTTTGGCAACAGATTAAATGGTGATAAATGCCAGTGAATGTAACAGTATGGAAGACCTTCCACCAGCTGTATGAAATACTGCACCTATTCATGCTAAAAACAGTATGTCTGGATATGCTAGACTGAGTGTAAGAATTGCCAACACCCCCCTTAAACAAACATGTGCAGTGAGGGCTCTCCACCCAAAGAGAAGACGAGGAAATGAGGCATGCTTTAGAAATGGGTTTATTATTAACAGTAAAAAAAAATGCATAGTGAGTTATAGACAAAGCTGGGATTCATTGCTAAAGAAGATTTTATTTTATAAGTAATGAAGAAATGAATTAATAAGCTTTAGAATGATGACAATGTTGCTCAAATAGTTGCGTAATCTGTCAAGGAGTGACTGAATTGTCATTTGGAAGTGGCTGTGGTGTGGAAGGATGTTGTATTTGTGACTTTCCTTTTTCGGTACACCTCATTGTCTTAAATTTGTTGTTTTTAAATGTTCTTAGCAACGGCTGGGCGCCACCCAAGCTGAGATCCAGGAGAAGATCCATGACAGAGTCAAGCAAATGGAAGAGTTAAAACAGGCTGTGGATGCTCTTAAGGTTTGTAAAACAATAATTAGTAAGGGTCACACTTTATTTTAAGTTACAATTCGAACTAATAACAAACTATTAATTTAGACGTTTTGGTCAATTAAGTACTAATTTGCTGCTTATTATTAGTTTGTAAGGTAGTAGTTGGGTTAAGGTATTGGATTAGGGATGTAGAATAAAAATAAGTACTAATAAACAGCCAATATCTTAATAATAAGCAGGTAAATGGTAACTAATAGTGGGAATTAGTACAAAATGTTACCAAAGTAATCACATAAAATAAAAATAATTTTTTTTTTGCAGTATTTGCAGATTTTTTTATTGTTTTTTCTTATTCAGAATTAAGCAGGTATACTTTGTAAACAGACGTGTGTGTACCATAGAAAGGATTATGAGTTTCCAATATTTAAGAAAACCTGTTGATTTGTTCTTCCAGAACTCAGCTCAAAGGGCCTTGCAGGAAAGTGAAAAGATGTTTGGCGACATGCTTCGTTCCATTGAAAGAATGCAGCAGGAAATGACCAAACTCATCTCCACCAATAAAAAAGCTGCGCTGAACAATGCTGAGGGCCACATGGAGCGTCTGGGGCAAGAAATTGCAGATTTGAAGAGGAGAGACGGTGAACTGACGCAACTCTCTCGCACCGAGGACCACATCCACTTCATCCAGGTGACTGACACAAAATATATTATCACTGAGCATAAGCACAATGTGCAGTTTGACAAGCGATGAAATTAAATACTATGCAAACTATTCTCTTTTTCCACATAGAGAAGATATTGAAACCCGTTCTGTTTGTTTTTTCAGAGTTATCATATGCTGATAGCCCAGACTGATGCTGAGGAGCTGCCGTCTGTGACTGTGAACCCTTACTACTCCTTCGGCCCTGTTACCAAGGCTGTTTCTGAGATGAAGCAGCATCTAAATGAGTTCAGCAATGAAGAGCTGGTCAAAGTGGCAAAGACAGGTATGTAGTCTAGTTGTAAAGCATTTTTTGGATCCAACATAGAATTGAATATAGTGTTCAAACACAGTCTTGCTTTATTTTAAACATTGTGTCATGTCTATTTTAAATACTTTATATATTTTTTTCTTGGGAATGATTAAACAAATCACATGTTCTCTCATTCATTATATTGAGATTATTAAATATTAAACCGGCCTTCTTTAAAACTCTCAATTCTTTTCCAGTTAACAAAATGCCTTTCTGCCAGCTGGAGGAACGCAAGAAGAAAAATGAGGAACGCAAAAAGAGTATGAAGGGTAAGTTAATGAAAATAATGAGAAACTTTAGCTGTCCCGCTGTTTGCTTTGTGCAGAATAGCTGGAATTTTGGAATGGCATTTGTCAAAAGCTAGTGTTGGGCTCCAAGAAATGGGTTGCCTGTTGCTAAGCAATGATCTTAAGCCTAGCATAACATTAAAAATACATAATTATTAGACGCTCTCCTCTCTGAAATGCACACACACATACATAATGGATGTTTTAATTTGGCTTTCAGTTGCATGTACACTGCAAAATCTGGCATCTGTTGGATTCTTACAGAATAAAAGCAATCAACTATTGAGAAATACTGTAAAAAGTAATCTTCTGAAATATTGGAGTTTAAAACTGGTCACACTTTATTTTGATGGTCCGTTTGTTGAATTTAAGTTACATTGCATCTACATGCCAACTAATTCTCATGAGATTATAAGTAGACTGTTAGGTTGGGGTTAGGGTTTGAGTTAGTGTAAGTTGACATGTACTTGCAAAGTTTCATACAGTCAGTTAAATGTCTGTTGAAGGAGACAACAGACAAAGTATATTAACTTTTAGCATCATTATTCATTAATCCTTCTAATATACTACTCAAGAAATAACTTACTATTATTATCTGTTTTAAAATGGTTGTTTATTTAAGTTTTTTGGTGGAAACTGTAATTGTAATGTGAAGTGGACGCTGACAACGGAGTGCGATTCCAAATGAAGAATTTATTCAGCAGAATGGTCAGGCAAGCAAAGGTCAACACAGGGGATGTATGTAGGCAAATCCAGAGTCTTGTCAAAAACACAGACGATAGGTCAGTACAGGCAGGAAGCAAACAACATAAAGAAACAAACATGGCAAGGGTCAAAACATGCCAAAGTAAGGCAAGGAAAATGCGTTTTAACGTCACAAAACTGCAAAACAAGACAAGTCTGTGTGTTTGTGTGCTGTATAAATAGTCCAACTAATTAGTCTTTGAGCAGCTTCAGCTGTGTTAGTGCGGTTAAATAGGACCAGGAACCGGTGTGTGTATCTCTGGCGCATGACTGCAACTTGTAGTTCTTAAAAATGGCGGATTTGTGGTCAGTTAGCGATCTGTGTGTATACTAGCGATCTGCACAGACTGGATCGCTAGTGACCCTGACAGTAATTCAATAGAAATGTTGGAAAGAACAGAAGTTGTTGAAACATTAGTATTTAATTCCAATTTAAAAATCTTTACTTTATCTTCAATCAATGTAATGTGTCTTTGTTGTGATAGTTTCTTTAAAAAAATTACTGAAACCTTTGTTTTTTCACTTCTCACTGTATTTAACAAATCAAATTAAATCACTTTTATTGTCACATCATCAGCAGCATGTGTACTATGATGAGTGAAAAGCTTAGGTGCTAGCTCCAGACAGTGCAAATACAGACAGTGCAAAATACAACAACATACTTCAAAAAACAAAACAATATACAATTGGCAATGTTGACAGTAATACGTAAAAGACAAAAAACAAATGAAAGCATTAAGAAAAATACACACATGTAGGCACAGATAGACAACTGCACTGTCAAAAAGGGTGTACACAGAGTTTGACTATTGGTGAAAAATTACTGTAGGCAATATTGTTTTAAGTTAGGATTGGTTAAAGTGCATTCTATGCTATGAAGTTTGAAAGTGCCTTTCACGCCATCCAAAAAGTACCTACAACTGCTTTTTTTCTTTGTAACTTAATCTGTTTGCTATAAAATATCAGACTAATTCAATGATTAGAAGTTTGCTTAAATCTCTCTTTATTGTGTCTCTAGCTGATGATGTTGACATGTACAAGAGCCTCAGCAGTGCTCCCCGGACCAGAGACGAGTTCCTTCAGTGTAAGTTTATTTTCATACAAGAATTTCCTTTTTTTGTGTATGCCCATGAACGGAGGGCGTTGTTGTAGAGAGAATACACACGCACAAGATATTAAGTTCAAGCTCAGCAAAATTCTCACTTCTTCTACTCCTGATTAATCAAATCATTTTTAATATGTTGGGATAGTTTGCATGAAGTGTTAGGAAAACAGGCTGTCTTTCGTCCTGTTAAATGTCTAGTGGGAGTAGTCGAACATCATTCCTTACATACTGAGTTTGTGTCCAAACACACTGCAAGAACAGGCGTAGACTGCTTAGTGTGTGGGTGTATGGGTGATTCACGATAACTGCCATCAGTCAAGCTATTAAAAATGTAGTCGTCTTCTTTTCTAAGAAAAGTCAGCTGTATTAATTCAGAGGACAAAACAAATCAAGCTGTACAAAAAATAAGAAGAATTTTTAAAAAGAATTGAACTTTTATGGAAGCAAGGAATTGTTTTATTCAAATTATTTAATAATGAGGTTTTCACAAAATGCTTTCTTAATAATGATAATTACCATTATTATCATTATAATTATATCATTTTATATAATTATGATATTGAGAGGAAATTATTTTGATTTTGTAAACAGTGTAATTTCTGATACGTAAGACTGACAATATGCTTTGCCATCACAAGATAAATTAACCTTTAAATGAGTTCAACTGAGGCGTCACGGTGGCGCAGTGGGTAGCACGATCACCTCACAGCAAGAAGGTCGCTGGTTTGAGCCTCAGCTGGGTCAGTTGGCGTTTCTGTGTGAAGTTTGCATGTTCTCCCTGTGTTTGCGTGGGTTTCCCTCACAGGTCCAAAGACATGCGCTATAGATGAATTGTATGTGTGTGAATGAGAGTGTATGGATTTTTCCCAGTGATGGGTTGTAGCTGGAGGGGCATCCGCTGCGTAAAACATGTGCTGGATAAGTTGGCGGTTCATTCCGCTTTGGCGACTCTACATTAATAAAGGGACTAAGCCGGAAAAAAAATGAATTAATGAAGGATTAAATGAATGTGCTCAACTGAAAAATCAGTTCATTATATTTCACAGTATTGTTGATTTTTCTGTAATCTGTCATTTTGTTCAAGTTAATTAATCTGTGGTAAGCTAACGCATGAATAAATACAGTAAAGTTTGAAGACTAATACTTAATTCTAAGACTTATGAAAACTTAAGCTGTTTAAGATTACAGAAATGAATATACAGGGTGTCCTAAATGTTTATCGACACTCTCGGCCCTCTAGATCAGAGACGTTCGCGCACCTCTGGCAGACACCACCACCAAATGTCCAACCAGCTCTGAGAGCCAATATGCAGCCTCGACCACTAGGCAGGTGATTTTATCCACATCCATGTTGTACCTTAATATCAGAAATGCTGATCTAAGATCATATTTGCTTTGACATATTCATATTTATAAGCTATAATTTGCAAAACTGCTCCTAGATCAGAAATCCTCGTCTAGGGTAGCTTAAAGTAAACCACATGCTGTCTGTCTTGTCATTTTGGGGTTCTCTGTTCTAAACCTGTTTACTGAGATTTTTTTTTATCATTCTTAAATTTGGCAGGCACTTTTATTCAAAGCAACTCACATTGCATTGAATCTACACATTTGATCAGTTCTGGTTTTCCCTGGGGATCAAACCCACAACCTTGCCATTGCAAATGCAGTGCTCTTTTATTTGAGCCACAGTAAAAGTGTAAAGTTCATTTCTTCTGTTGAACACAAATGTACTTTGAAGAATGTTAGAGACCATTAGCCACTGACTTTAATAGTATTTTTTTCTATTGGGGGTGGGGGTTTGTGTTCAAAAGAATAAATGAAACTGATAAAGGTTTGGAAGGTGAGTAAAAAAAGAGTAAATTTTCATCATTGGCCAAACTATCCCTTTAACTCACATATTGCAATTAAAAATCACCTAGTAAAACCTGTGGTCTTTTGTACTTAACCCATGCATATTGGTTAATGCATACAAAATTACTTACAGCATCTATTTAATACAGTGTCTCATAGATTAATTCGGGTTTTTAAAGCACCAAATTACTATGTATATCAAAGGTGTCCAAACTCGGTCCTGGAGGGCCGGTGTTCTGCATAGTTTAGCTCCAACTTCCTTCAACACACCTCCTTTTAAGTATCTAGTATACCTAGAGCTTGATTAGCTGGTTCAGGTGTGTTTCATTGGGTTTGGAACTAAAATATGCAGGATGCCGACCCTCCAGGACCGAGTTTCGACATCCCTGCTGTACATGGATGAAGATACTTTCATGCAAAGTGGGCAGAAATTCATTTTGAGAAGGGGTGTCTTCAACAAAACTGACATTTGTCTTCAATTACTTCACCAATCCTGATCATTCACCATTTGTCTTGTTTATTTTCCAGATGCCTGCCAGCTTACTCTGGACCCCGACACGGCATACAGACAGATCTACATCTCCCGAAGCAACAGGAAAGCAGCACTGAAGAAAGATCCTCAATCTTACAGCGAAAGCAACCAGAGGTTTGACTGCCTGCCTCAGGTCTTGTGTAAGGAGTCTCTTTCAGGAGGTGCTTATTACTGGGAGGTGGAGTGGAGCGGTGAGGGAGCCTCTGTCGGTATCACCTATAAAGGCATCAAGAGGGCCGGTTATGGAGACTCTGCTCGAATCGGCTACAACCGCAAGTCCTGGAGCCTCTTCTGCTCTGACTCCAGCTACTCAGCCCGACACAACAAAGACCAGCTTGAGATTAAAGCGCCGTATTCTTCCCGTATCGGGGTCTTTCTGGACTGTGCAGGAGGCACTCTTTCTTTCTACACCGTGTCTGAGTCTATGTCACTAATTCATCAGTTTAAAGCCTCTTTCAGTGAGCCAGTGTATCCTGGCTTTTGGGTGTGGTACGAGTCTGCTGTTACTATTTGTCAGCTGTAGATGGTTAAAATGGGATATGAGGGCATTGTTTCCTTCTTTTTAATGAGTTTGAGTTTTTATTCTCTTTTTTATGAGATTCTGATTCTTGTGAAGATGATTGGATTGTATTAAAACTGGTAGTCATAGTCTGTGGCATATCAAATAGCTAATATGTTTATATTGAGAATTTTTTAAAAGCGCAAAATATCTTAACATTTACATCGATTTGTTTTTGCATAAACTGTGAAGAATATTATAGATTTATTATATTTTTGTTTTTTTAATCTATTTTATGCTTTACCTTGTGTCCATCTGTGTGATTGTTCTGATTGATTATTATGAAGTTTAATCTGGCTCAGAAAAAAGATTTACACAGGTTATATAATATGTTTGATTGATGTGGGTCAATTTGTTACCATTAATGATAATAATAAAGTGTTCTTTGAGACTGTTATTGAATCATTTCTTTGACAAATTGGGGAAAATCTAACTTGGGATGCACAGATGCTTCTACACAGTGTTGAATCTAACGTGCAACCTCTGACATTTTACAATAGTTGCCTCTGGTGGTTGCTTTCATTTTTACCGCATTATTTACAACTTACAAATAAGGTTCGTTTCTGTTGGCCTAGTGCTTCAGATTTGCTCTGACATCTGAGAAGTTAAAAAAGGGTAATTTTAGGCTAATTGCATAATCTTTAACTTTAGAATTATAAAAGTGATAGTTATTGTAGTATTTCGAGGGTCAAAACTTGCCAATGGTCAAAACAGACCTGGATGGTTTGGGTAAAGCAGCAGGGGTGGAAAGAGTAATAAAATATTCTACTTAAGTAAAAGAACTGTTACTTCCAAACAATTTTACTTAAGTAAAAGTAAAGTTATATGTCTATAAATCTACTTAAGTTAAAATTAACTCAAAATGTACTCACCAGTAAAGAGTAACTATTTCTCAAAAGGTACATGAGAATATAAATCTCCAATAAGTTGTTTTCATAGAATAAACAACTTTAAAAATAAAGACCAGTATTAAAATATATATAATTATTTAAAATATTTTACAGATTATCCTATTTAACAATTTAAACTAATTCACAAATTCTAATGCAACAGCTGCTGTGTTAAAATGTGCATAGCCAGTTTTGCTTCAAGCCCCTGTTAAAATATAATCCTGGTGGTAACGTAACATTAGCAATGTTACGAGCACAGTTGGGCTAATTACTTCCAAAATGTAATACCTTATATATTACTAGTTACTGTCATTTTTTGTAATTAGTTACATTACAATATTAATATCTCAGAAATGTGTTACACTACTTTTGTATTACTTTTAGGTTACTTTAACCAAAATAACCACAGAAGTATGACTCATTTTTCAATTTTCAAATACATTTATCTATTAATTGCAATTGTAATTGCTTTTTTGTTTGCACAAGGAGTCTGACAACACCCAGTGTGTGTGTGTGTTTGTGTGTTTGTGTGTGTGTGTGTGTGTGTGTGTGTGTGTGTGTGTGTGTGTGTGTGTGTTGTGTGCGGTTTGTGTGTGTGTGTGTGTGTGTGATCTTGTTGACTGTTGTGTGTTCAGCTAGAACCAGAGGGATTGGGTTCTGTCAGGAGCGCTGGGTCTCTCTCTGGTCCTCTCCTTCATTCTGGTTCCTCTTCAGTTCAGTGTTTTCACCTGAGCTGAGCCTAGAGCAGTTTTACTACCTGCTCTACAAAAAAGTGTGTTCATGACTTTACATGAAAAGTAGAATAATACAACAAGAACATATAAGAGCATCAAGCAGCATAACGAGCTGTTTTTAACCTCTAGAAATTGATGTGAACCAGATCGGAAGTCTCCAGCCAAACAGTTTCCAATGGCGGCGCCCGCTCATACTTGAAGACGAGCAGTAAAACTATTCATAGTTCATTGATTCTGTCTTTTTCATTTAATTTCTGTGATCCATGCATACTTTTGTCATTTGATAAAGGAATCTCAACTCTTTGTACCCCTTTAACCCAAAACATTAGTTTCCGGTGTTTTATTTTTAAATTTCTTCTTAATTTTACATTTGTTTGATTTCATATTTTGGTTTGATGTTACATTTAATGATGCTGATAATGAATGGACGTCATTTATAATAATGATCCCATTCAAACACAGTTGTTTATCAGAAGAAATAGGAGACAGGAGACTGAAATGTATGGGTTTAAGTAAAATGTTCATATGCATTTTATTCTATTATGGTCTGATAACATCTCTTTAACATTTCAAGTAAAAATATTGTGGTTTAGAGCATTTCTTCAGAAAATGGCAGCTGCCAGAAAAACTCGCTGTGACTGAAAACTCCTCTAAAGCTAAAACATTAGTACTGTGTCGAGTAAAATGAGCATGTATGAAAACTTGATACTATCTTGTTATTTTAGTTAAAAAAGAGAGAGAAATGTTTAAACGTCATTTCTATATTTAGGAAATGTCACCAGTAATTTACAAAAAAAAACAAACAAAAAAAAAAACTATTGACTAATTACCAGAGAAATGTACAAAATCTAAAATGAGTCAAATCTCTGATTTTAACACGATCAGTTGATTATTTTTATAGGAAACCCCATCTATTAAGCTAACTTAATGAAGAAATAACAAAGCTTTTTTAACATTATATTACAATATTTAACAGCTTGGAATGAGTAAATTTTCCCTTTTCTTCTTTTTTGTCAAAGAACACTTTAAAATGAACAGTTTTATTTAGCGAAGGATACTTTACATTGAACAAAAGTGAGGATAAAGTCATTTATATTGTCTTACATTTTTAATTCCCGTAAATGCAGTTCTTCTGAAACTTCAAGTCATCAAGGAAGTTGAAAAAACTCCTCCCTGTAAGTCTGTTCACTTTGCCCTTCACCAGGACATAGATGTCTGTCTGAAGGGCTGAAATCCCACCTGAAAGAAGCAGAGGAACAGGATGCTAAAACATTTAGAAATAGAAACGAATATGTGGTATCAGAAAGCTTTCAGAAAATGAGCAATTGTGATCATTGTCAAGTGTTTTGTATCTGCTGTGTAGTCTGTTGTCCAGCGGAGGGTTCCAGCAACTGTGGGAGGGTTTCTGAAGGTTTGTCTGTCCATTTCAGGATGGCCAGCCATTCTGGATCAAACTCAAGCATCTCCTAGAAGGTTCCTCCACAATCTGCAATGACAAAACAACTGAATCTACTTCTGGATCTCATTACCATGCTGGAAGACGGCAGGATCATTACCTTCAGAATGAAGACATTGGTCAACTTAGAGAAACTTGCTGATCTTCGGGGCAGCATTATTCATTTTTCTTAACATGAAGGGACAAACATGTTGTTATAAATTTTAAACTGATATCTGCATTTTATTCTGAGCCTTTTTCACAAAGTTCATGTCTGAAACCTGTAACTGCAAGAGATATAGAAACAAACTTGAGTTCACGCTGATGTTGATGTATAATAATGACAGCATGCAAGCCGTTCGCAAGTAAATTGTCCACTTTTTGTTTAAAATTACTTTCATGACACTCAATTTCAAATATGGATGAAAACAAATGTTCTGTGGGCATACGTTATAGCAGATATAGTGTGCACTCACCTGCCACTTTATTAGGTACACCTGTCCAACTGCTTGTTTCTAATCAGCCAATCACATGGTAGCATTTCAATGCATGTAGACATGGTCAAGACGATCTACTGCAGTTCAAACCGAGCATCAGAACGGGAAGGAAAGGTAATTTAAGTGACTCTATACGTGGCATGATTGTTGTGCCAGACGAGCTGGTCTGAGTATTTCAGAAGCTGCTGATCTACTGGGGTTTTCACGCACAACCATCTCTAGAGTTTAGAGAGAATGGTCTAAAAAAGAGAAAATATCGAGTGACTGGCAGTTCTGTGGGTGCAAATGCCTTGTTGATGCCAGAGGTCAGAGGAGAATGGCCAGACTGGCTCCAGTTGATAGAAAGGCAACAGTAACTCAAATAACCACTCGTTACAACCGAGGTGTGCAGAAGAGCATCTCTAAACACACAACAAGTCCAACCTTAAGGCGGATGGACTACAGCAGCAGAAGACCACACCAGGTGCCACTCCTGTCAGCTAAGAACAGGAAATTGAGGCTACAATTCGCACAGGCTCACCAACATTAGACAAAACAAGATTGAAAAAATGTTGCCTGGTCTGAGTCTCAATTTCTGCTGCGATATTCGAATGGTAGGGTCAGAATTTGGCATCAAGGACATGAAAGCATGGATCTGTCCTGCCTTGTATCAACGGTTCCGGCTGGTGGTGGTGTTGGTTTAATAGTGTGGGGGATCATTTCTTGGCATACTTTGGACCCGTTAGTACCAATTGAGCATCATATCAACAATCGACAAATCTGCAGCATGATGCTATCATGTCAATATGGACCAAAATCTCTGAAGAATATTTCCAGTACCTTGTAGAATAGATGCCACGAAGGCTTAAGGCAGTTCTGAGGGGAAAAAGGGGGTCCAACCCGGTACTAGCAGGGTGTACCTAATAAAGTGGCCAGTGAGTTTATGTTACAATTAATATGTGCACAACTTAATATATAATATATGTATTTTCAGCACATTTCGAAAGATAATAGTTTTAATAACTCTTTTCTAATAACTGATTTCTATGATCGTTGCCCTGATGACAGCTCATAAAATTTTACTACATACTTTTAATGAATAAGACTTTACCCAGAATAAAATATATTATAGAAAATACTGTGAAAAATTCTTCTGTTTGGGAAAAATTTGAAAAATAAAACAAATTTACAAGAGGGCTAATAACTTTGACTACATACTGCAATGAATGCCATGTAGTGTGTGAAACAGGCTTAAACTAAAGGGAACCAAAAGCTTTTTATTTATCAAAAGCACAGAGTGACGGTGAATGAGGACCCACCTGGTGCTGCATCAGAGTTGAGTCGAGTGCAGGTGAGCAGAGATCCAGTATCTGGACTGAAGGTGCTCTAGACACTCAGCAGCAGCAGCAGCAGCAGCAGGGCTTCCTAAAGTACTGGTCTCCACTTCCTGTCTGAGGAACTCCTTCCTGTTGAGGGAAAAGTAATCCGTTACAATCTAAAGTCACTTAAAAAGGTAGCTCAATGTGTTACTTAGTTACTATTTAAGGAAATAAATGTGAACGTTTGTGTTATTTACTTTTTTATTTAGAGTACGGGCTTATAAAGGCCTCTGCTTATTTGCAGTTATTAATCATCTAAACCTATTTTTTTTATTTATAGGCTTAATTCAGTCTACTTTTACTTCCCTTTATTAATCAAAAGTTTAGATACTTCACTGGTCATCATTACTGATCTGTCTGCGCCAGCTACTGGGAGAGAATGATTTAGCATTTTTATTCTGCACAGTGTTTCTACAGGGGTGAATAATGCCAAGCCAAGATTTGTTTCTAATTATGCATTTAATTCCTACTTTGAAATAATAAATCGACTTTAAATAAACAACGACTCAAGCTAGCTAATGGCCACTGTGTGGATCACTGTTACTGCAGTGGTTGCCAATAATAATTTTTTTTTTTTGCTATTGTTTCTAGCTTAATAAAGAAAAAAAAAATTTGATTTCAGAATCGAATTAAATTACTTATATTTATTGCTGAATAACAATGTCAGTTTTCTATTGGCCTCCTGGCAAAGTGAATGATTTCAGATTCTCTGCACATTTTTGCAGTTTATTTATTTACAAATGAGGACTGGATGCTCAAAAATGTCACTCATTAAATCAATTACTAAATTATCAGAGATTATAAATATAAGAAACTAGTTATTTTTCACTTTTAAGAGTATAAGAGTAGGCACTAAAGCCCAACCCCATTTCAAAATGTCTGGCCTCGCTCCTCATTAATAGTAGTAGTAATACAGTAGGCTATGAGTAATCTCTGGGTCAATACCAATTCTTTAATGAAAACTCTGAACTCAGATCTTATGCTCATGGCTACTCAGAGGTTTGAGAATACATCATTAAACCCTACCTTAATAGCCTCAAAAGAACTTTTGTGTGTCTACTTTCTGAACGAATCCTTGTTTTAAACAGCCCAGACAGCGCTGGCTTTACTTCTTTGTTGAATGATTCCGTTGTTTGAGCGAATCCTCTCACTGGTTAGACATTACTACACCTGCTGGAAGATTTAGATTCTTATTTTGAGGATTATTTTCATTTTTAATCAAAATCACACTTTTTCATAATAAAATGCAATAAAGTGCAATAAACTCTATTCTTTGAAATAAAGGGAGAGTTCACACACAAAATAATGTCGTCATCATTTACACACTTTTGTGCCATTTAAATCTGTATCAATTTCTCTGTATTGTAGACTAGTTTTGGTAAATGTTTACTTACTTATTTTCACATTTAACACAATAATGTAATTTCTGAGTCAACTTTAAACATTAAAATAGAATTTTTGCAATAATTTGCATGAATTCAATTCAGGAACACCAATAATGACTTGGTCACTTCTTTTTCTTTTTCTTCAGGGCCGTAAGTATTACATGTTTGATGACACAATCTATTCATTTCATTCATGTGTTTTAGTGAAACTCGCCTATTTCAAGACACGGATAAGAGTTTCTTTAACAAAATAATTAAAAATATTCCTAAATTAAGGTAATTAATAAATATTTTGCCAATAAACATTTAGTTTTTTTTGTGTGTGTATGTGTGTGTGTGTGTGTGTTTGTGTGTGTGGTGTGTGTGTGTGTGTGGTGTATGTGTGTGTGAGTGTATGTGTGGTGTGTGTGTGTGTGTGTGTGAGTGTATGTGTGGTGTGTGTGTGTGTGTATGTGTGTGTGTGTGTGTGTGTGTGTGGTGTGTGCGGTTTGTGTGTGTGTGTGTGTGTGTGTGTGTGTGTGTGTGTGTGTGTGTGTGTGTGTGGTGTGGTGGTTGTGTGTGTGTTGTGTGTGTGTTGTGTGTGTGTGTGCGTGTGTGTGTGCGTGGTGTGGTGACAGGGGACATCTTCTGTCTGGAGCATCAGGCCAATCTTCTGCTGTCCATAATCAGGTGGTTTGTCTTGGTCAGGCATCTCAGCTGAGACCTGTCCACTATGGGTGACCCTACCGGTAGCTGTGAAGTACCAGTGGCGTAGCTCTCAGCATCACTGATGCACACAAGCCCTCACAGCACGTCAAGCTGCAAACCATGTGAGGGACCCTAACCTACCCTAACCCAACAGCCAACACTAACAACCCTAACAACAACCACTAATGTGCCAAAAACCACTCAGAGGAGACCAGCAACACGCAAGAAACCGCCTAGAAAACCTCACTAACCGCATGTCAACATCCAAAAGAACCCAAGAGCCGAATATGAGCAGCACGGACAATCACCAAAACATCCAGCAATGTGATAAACTTGAATGAAAAGTTCAATTTGATTAATTGAAAACTTATTCTATAACTATATACAATATATACAGTATGTACATACGTGCCCATTATCCTTCATCTGGCACTAGGATGGCTCAGTGCCTGGGCCTCTTCCTCCGGGGCTCCTTGGGCAGCGGCTCCTTGCTAATGTCCACCTTGATCTGAGGGGGGACGCTGGACTCGGACCTGATCTCCGTGATGAGCACACGTCCATCAGGCTGCTCGGTCTCCAGCAGCGCAGGCCGGCCCAGCTTCTCCCACAGCCGCTGCTTTACCTCCAATCCTTTCTGAAGGGTGTATCGGCCAGCACGCTTCTTCACTGTGGAGTCCATCACACTGCGGTAGATGCCCTGGTATTCCTGTACACTCCGACCGTGGATGGAGAGCGGCTCTTCCTGCAGACACTCACCCACTGGGGGGACTGGGGCTGCGGGACGAAGGGCAGGAAGGACAGCCGCGTTCTTCAGGTGTCGCTCCAGCAAGAAGTCCCTGAGGTGTCCGGGGACAGTCCTGGTCCTCTGTGAGCGTCGCAGCGTCATCATCAACAACTCCAAAACAACTTTCCAAACTGATGTAACTCAGCCGAGGGGAGATTTGCTCAGAGTTGTGCAGCGGGATGATCAGAATCGATCACTCTATAGACAGTAGCGTGGATTTGTAAACCAACTCGTGTTGCCGTGGTGACAGAATGACGAGGGTCATTTAAATGTACACAATTTCACCCTTAAGTCAATTAGAGCAGCAGGAGCTGTATGTACACTACAGTTTTTTGTTAAATGTTATTAAACACAGAACATCTCTTAATAAATATTAGGTATAATAACAGAGGGCCCATATACCCAGATAAATAATGTCCCCGTTTTTCTTTATTATTTTCATCTTTGAACTTGAACATCGCGTCATACGTTTCCACGTCAGAACTCTGGTCACGTGTTTTAATTTATTGCAGTATAAAAAAAATACGAGGCACAATTCAAACATTTTCATCTACATTTACAGAACAGAGCACAAATACTAATCAAACCAATAATATAAAAATAAATAAAAACATAGAATAGACAAACAAACACAGACAAGGAATGACTTTACAGGCTCTTCTATCCATTTAATTTGTTTCAATAAACTAAACAGTCTTCTTCCTTATGTTGATTTTAAAACAACTATAAAGATTTACTTTGGTTTTGTTTTAAGACACTTTGCAG